CCACCGTCGTCAGTGCCACGATGGCCACAAATCAGCGGGAGGAGCCACGGCTCTTCTGTCCCCTGAACTTTGACGGATATCTCTGCTGGCCAAGGACTCCGGCCGGCACCGTGCTGAGTCAATATTGTCCCGATTTCGTCGAGGGATTCAACAGAAAATTTCTGGCCCACAAGACGTGAGTTAAATGCGCAAAATTGCGGAATTTTACGGCCCCAGGGAAAAGATAGATTTTCATTCAGTGCATGGTCTTGCATGGTCAAATGAATTCCGCAATTCGTAATATTCGCCAAAGCACAAATGCGGAAATTCCTTGACATTCACTTCAGTGTTTTCCGTGTGTCATAAGATACCATGTTTATTTATGGGAACGACAACCATAGCAAATCTATTTAGGGTTACAAATTGATCTAAAATATACACATATTTTATTTAGGTTTATTCCACACTGAAAGAATCGTTTCCGGTCTGAAGAAATATATATTCTAGATATATGTTGTTTAAAATTTTTACTTTCGTTCTTTATTTATAACAACATGTCTAAGACAAAAATAAATGTACTATTGCTGGAGTACATTTTTAAATATTTAACTCCATTGCTCCAAGATCTCACACAGTGCTATACAATTATCCTGACTTTTAAATATCGAAATTTACCCCACAGCTTCTCCGACAATACTAATTGAAGTATTGTTGGAGAAATTTTTAAATGATTTATCCATTACTCCAAAATCTTGCACTGTGCTATAAAATTATTCCAACAATTTGCAAAACTCCAATATTACATTATGAATCTAATTCAATCTTAAGTTTCTGCGACAAAAATAGTTGAAGTATTGTTGAAGAAATTTTAAATTATTTTACTCCATTAGATCAGAATCCCACACAATGTTAAAAAATTATTCCAATAATAAACAAAACTACAACATCACTTTAAAATAACGTAATTTATCAAGCAGCAATAATTTCTTAAATTTATCTATTAACTTTTGATACTTTGTTATTCTTGAACTTTACTACTTTACTATTTTTGAACCGAGTTGATAATGTGAGTCTCACTTTATATAGCAGCTGAGCTCAGTTGCTTCTTGGCCAAGTTAAGTGACTTTTGCTTTGTCGGGCGCTTTGTTTGAAAACCCCATGTGCTCGCACTTAGTCAGTCACAATTATCGTAAGCATTTCGCATTCATAGCTGCCTGGAAAATGGCTCCTGGTTCCGTCATCCGGAGAGCAATCAGACCTGGTCCAATTACACCAACTGCGTGGACTACGAGGACCTGGAGGTAAGTGCCCCGGCGACATCATGGGGGGAACACGGACATTAATCAAGAAAGTTGCCACTGCAGTTTCGCCAGTTCGTCAACGAGCTGTACGTGAGGGGCTACGCCCTCTCCCTGCTGGCCCTACTCATATCGATTATAATCTTCTTGGGCTTCAAGTAAGTGCTTGCCGTTGCTCTGCATGGGGCTATTCCGTTCTCCCATTCCGATACTGATGTGCGGATATCCCGTTCACAGATCCCTGCGCTGCACCCGCATTCGGATCCATGTACACCTGTTCGCCTCGCTGGCCTGCACCTGTGTGGCCTGGATTTTGTGGTACCGCCTGGTGGTGGAGCGACCTGAAACCATAGCCGACAATCCGGTAAGCTGCAGAGAGAAAAAATGCTGTGAAAATCAATACTACACTTCATGTTCCCCTGATGTTAGATTATAATTAGAGAACTGGTTCTTATTAGTATTCATGTTGTGAAAATAAGCACTCCAATAACACTTCAACAACAAGAAATTTTTCACCAACATTCCAAAATTACTCCAATAGTACCTTGTCGTTTTTTATAGATTCCAAAAAAAAAACTTCATTGTTGCAACATATCTCCAACAGTACTTTAAAGATGTGTTTCAACACAAGTCTTATTATATTCCAATAATTCTCCATTATTCCTAAAAATTTCACCAGCAATAGTAACACAGTAGTACAACAACGCTAAAATATAACAATATTCAAATAACTCATTATTGTATCACTTTAGTAATATTTTCTATTCTGGAATTAAAATACTTTGAGAATGGCTTATTTCGCTTCGTGTTGGCCATTGCCTAACTAACTTACCATGTAACTACTTTCCAGCTCTGGTGCATCGGCTTGCACCTGGTGGTGCACTATTTCATGTTGGTCAACTACTTCTGGATGTTCTGCGAGGGTCTACACCTGCACCTGGTGCTCGTTGTGGTAAGTCAGCCGAAATTGCACTCAAGTCATCCGTTCTCCTCTTACATGGCCATGCAAATCTCCGTAATTGCCGTGTAAGTCTGCATTCTTTATGAGTGAGTTCTGTGAATGGCAGATGTGATTCGCTGCAGCCGTTGACGTGGCAATGGTTTTCCCCTACCAATTTGTCTGAGAGCAAATCGCAACTTTGGCCAGCTGCTTTCCGTCTCCGTCAAGCTGAGATGTCAGGAGTGTCCGGCGACTTACTAACCCAACCCCCATCTATATTGCAGGTCTTTGTGAAGGATACGATTGTGATGCGCTGGTTCATGGTCATCAGCTGGCTATCGCCTATTCCCATTGCCGTCGTATATGGATTGGCCAGACATTTCAGCAGTCCGGACAATAAACAGTAAGTCGTTGAGAAGGTTACCGCCTAAGCTTTACGCAATCCAATATGTAGCGTTATTGGTACTAGTAGCACTTCTGTATCTTTCACAAGGCTTCATTAATAATAACAAATCCATGCGCTAGCATCATTTAAAATTAAGTTTAAAATTAGTCTATTAAATTATTTGTACAGTTTCCTTACTTTTGAATTCATTTAAAACATTGTAAAGGTTTTTGAAATAATCATTATTGATTATCACGGAACTTAAACACTATGACCCCACTGCATAACACTTTGGTTAAGCTTACCCTTACATAAAAATAACTCTTAACCGCCATCAACCCTACTACAATATTACTTTAAAATTAGTCCCACAATACTCCAACAGTACTCCAACATTACTCCAACATTACTCTAACATAGCTCCAACATAGCTCCAACATAGCTCCAACATTACTCCAACATTACTCCAACATTACTCCAACATTACTCCAACAATACTCCAACAGTACTCCAACACTACTCCAACAGTACTCCAACCTTACTCCTACTTTTCTACAGCAATTTTCAAATAGTATTTACAAATTGTTTAACATTTATTTATCTTTACATTAACATACTTTGAAATTATAATAATAACAATTGTAATAATTTTCCTTGACCAATCGTAGCTGCTGGATAAATGACAGTCTTTACCTGTGGATCTTCTCAGTGCCCATAACCCTCTCGCTGCTGGCTAGTTTCAGTAATATATGGAAGTATATTTTATTACAACAATGTTATTAACCTTTTAATATTTCCGCCAGTTTTTCTGATCAACGTTCTGCGGGTGATCGTGAGGAAGTTGCACCCACAGTCCGCACAGCCCGCTCCGCTGGCCATCCGGAAGGCGGTACGGGCCACCATTATTCTGGTACCGCTCTTCGGGCTGCAGCACTTCCTGCTGCCCTACCGGCCGGATGCCGGGACCCAGCTGGATCACTTCTACCAAATGCTCTCCGTGATCCTGGTCAGTCTGCAGGGCTTTGTGGTCTCCTTCCTGTTCTGCTTCGCCAACCACGATGTCACCTTCGCCATTCGCACCCTGCTCAACAAGCTGCTGCCCAGCCTGGTGACCCCACCGCCGGCCGGGAGTAATACTGGACAGATGGCCACCACCACGCCCAGCCGCGAGTTGGGCGTTTAAGACGTACCGCTCGAGGGTCGACCGAAATATTGACCACATCGCCGCGCAAAGATTTTGAACAGCTCTTTAAAAAATATTTCCAAGGCACCGACAAATTTGAAGTATTTTACATTGAGAGTTATTTTTCAAATGGAATTTAATTTCATTTTAATTAATTAATAGTAACCAAATGATTTAAGCGTTAATTTTTAAAAAAGTAAAAAGAGTTTTCACTGAATAGAAACTTATAATCAGATAAATTCTCAGATTACCCTATGGGCATTCTAGTCATGAAAAAATCTAGTCGCTGCTCTAATTTAAAATTTAAAAATAAGTTTAAAAAACTTTAAGAAATTACTAACCTTCCTCAGAAATACCTCAAAATAATTTACTGAAATCATTAAACTTTTTTTTAATTTCAACCGAAAGCCATTTAGACATGAAAAAGTGAAACAAGTTGTAAATGTATTTAAATACTGTCTTAAACTTATTTTATTTAAAAATAAAATATAAATGTACACGTAGAAAATTATTACAGCTTGGACTTCCCAAAAAAAAAAAATATATAACAACATTAAAGCTTTTAATGTTTATATAAGCCATATAAATTATTAAATAGAGGGTTGCCCTTCTAAGTATTTAGGTTTCATACAGCTATCCCTGATGAGACAAAGAAAACTATTTATGTCATATCCAGAGTAACTACGGGAATCAAGTGTAAAGAATATAAAAGATCCCCAAACGATTTTAATACAAAATACTATGTGTAATATTTTATGATATGATATATGATATATGTTCAAATACAAGTCCTGAGAGGATATAAGTAGGGGCACAAAATGAAACATACGTACCCGCGTACCTAAAGAAATGTTTTTTTTGATATTTCATTAAGATATATATAGTATGATATAATTATATTTATAAATAAACACATGTAATGTTTTGATGCTGTTAATGTCAGATATCTATGATGTTTATCCCACTTAACCAATCACAATTACGTAGTGAATAAATCATGTTAACTGCAACAGAAGCGTATAATAGATATTTTATTGGATACCTATAGAATAAAAACAACTCTTTTTTTGGTAAATTTTTCATTCAATTTTATTTTATTTTTTTGTCGTTTTTCTTTTGTCATATTTTTATTTTATTTTGTATACCATTGCTTGCCGGCTTTTTGTTGTTTGGTTTTAGTTTTTGTAATCGAGTTTCGTTTGGATTTCGTTTTTGTTTTTTTTTTTTTGTTTATGAAAGAGCAAAAGAGCGTAGAACAAAACTAATTCATACAATAAAATACAAATATAATAATAATTTACATACATTCATATAATTTATATGTACGAGTATAGTAAAATTTACGTTTTCATCTTATCGCTTTTGTTTTCCAATATAAGTTATATAATAATATGCATCTAAATTTGTGTCACCTCGGTATCATTTCCTTTACTGTGTGAGTGGGTGTAAGTGTGATCTGTTTGTGTCTGTGTTAAGTTAGCTATATTTATGGTAAATACATACAAATATGCGCCTATCCATTTAGATTTATTTGAGACCCAGGAATCGAAAGAGCTTTGAATCAGAATTTGAAATTAGAAGAAATATTTTAAATTTTGATTTTTTGTAATTGTTTAGTTATCAACAATAAGAAATCTTTTTCGAGAACAAAGTGTTCTGGAACTGAAGAATTCGCGCTCTTTCTCGAACCCTTAAAAAGTTAGAAGGTTTTGTGCGTTTTTAACTCTGATCGAAACCTCTTTAGATTCATGCTGGCCTCTAATATATATTACTTATTAAGTTAGAGCATTGTTTAGCTGCTGGTTGGTGTTTGGGTTGTGGATCGTGTGACTTGGAGGGTGTACAAAAAAATGTAAATAGTTCTACTCAGGGGCTACGAATACAATATCGAAATGTGAGTAAGTAAGCATACATATATAAAGAAGGTAAGTACATGGGTATGCGGTATATGGTTAACTAATTGGATAAGTACGATCGCAGGGTAATGCATAATTAGGTGCTGCCCTTGGATTTGCACGAAAAGTATATAAATATTTGTACGATACGCTATAGACAATAATAATTAGCATACACAATCAAATGGATAATAAGTAATTAAGTTTGAAGTTGAGTTCTGATTTTTTTTTTTGTTTTGATTCATGGATCTTTGTTCTTGCGCACACACATATATATAAAGTTGGCTTACATATATATGTATGTATATATATGCATAACGGTTATCGATTTTCTTATGCAAAAAATTGATTTAAATATTCTTGCGATTTTTTGTTTTACTTTTATTTTTGTTTACTTAGTTAATTAGTTTGGTTTGGGCGCGTTCCGTCTGACAAAGCGGCTACGTATATTTTTTTTGTCTTGTCCTTATTGTTTTTATTACTTTTTTAAACTAATTTCTTGAATTTTGCAAATAATTCAACATTTTTTTTTTCTGTTTAAATCTAAAGCAATTTCCGTTGTGCCAACTGCTTGTAAAAAGTCCCTCGACTGCTTGCACTGCTTACCGTGTCATTTGCCTCAGGCGACCATAATATTTTTTGTATTTCTGGTTTCTTAACGCTTTTTGGCTTGTTTTTCGCTTATTTCTGTATTTTTGCATAATCTGTCGCTTGTTTTCTCGATGCTTACACACTAGATTGAAGTTTCATATTCGCTAATATGCATGCAATCGTCGTCTTAGCTTAGGTTTTTGGTATCGATGAAATCGTCTTACGTGTCTAGATTTTAGTGTATATCAATAAAAATGTTGGAAGTTGATTTTCGGGTGTAGCTTCGGGAGGCGTTGCTAAAACGCTTCACTTTCGTTTTCGGGTCTTTTACGAGATTTCTATCTTCAAATTCTTCGTTTTGGTGTTGCTCTGTTACGGTTTTCGATTCTGTTAACGGGGCTATAATTCCATATTTTCGCTATCCTGGCCATATAAATAGACATGTACATCTATATATATATATAAATATGTATTTGTTGTATTTAATTTTTAAATGCATTTCATGCTTAGTTGATGATTTTCATTGTTGGGTTCAGTTTTAGTTTTGCATTCTGCTGTTTATTTTGGTTTTGTTTTGTTTTTTTTTTTTTGACTAAAATTAATATCGAAGAACTTTTGTCAACTGATCGGTGTGTGGTTTGCATGTATCTGCGTGTGTTTTTCGGTTCTTATTTAGCTGACTTTAAACTAATATGCTTCGGTTAATATGGATCTTTTTTTTTATTTGGGTAAATTGTAAGTGGCGGCGTAAGTGCCATGAATAAATGTGACCGAGTCGCTGAGTTGCGATTTGTACAACTGCGTTCCGTTCGCCTCCCTCCATCCAATATATATATATATAAATATATATATGTAGTAAGTCAGCATGGGTCAAAACAGCCAACTCGAGCCACATCTCCATATTGCTTTTGTGAATGACACACGCGCCTGCGCAGCTGCGTTGCGGCGGTTATTTTGCGGATATTACTTGATTACTTGATTATTCCATATGCCATATTGAGTATTGAGTAGGTTAACTAGTCGCCGGGAAGTGTAAAACGAATCAGCATTCGTTTGAAGATCGTTTTTCTTTGTCGTTTTGAGTCCCAACTGTGAACTGCTTATGTCAACAAGCAGTGTACTGCTTGCGTGCAGTTCTCTTTCGAGGACTTCCGGTCTTCTGCTGATCTCTCGTTTTTAGGTAATTTTAGGTATTTTTTTAATGTATTTCACATTTTACTTTGCTCATATTCCTTTGAATTTCGCGATACCGTAGTGGTTTCTCGTGATTCTCTTATCCATGTGTATTTTGTATATATCGTTATACATACTTAATACAAATATATATATGTATATATATATTTAATAAATTTTACTATAAATCTTTGTTTAAAAAATTTTACATCATTTATATTATATATTTAAAAATTTGGTGTTTTCAATTTGCGTTCGCAACTTCCACTTAACTTCAGTTGCTTGCTTTTGTTTGGTTTTCCTTGGTTTTTCCTAGTTTAAAGTTAGTTTTATTTTTTTTTTCTTGTATTTATTATTTTGTAGTGTTTTATCGCCTCATGGCCGATTGCCATGTAGATGTGGCCTGACCCTTAAGCCCTAAATACACAAAAAAAAGTTTTGCTTGCTAAAAAATGTTCATAACTCCACTTGGTTTTCTCGCCATCAGTTAAACTACAGACACACACATTGATTGTTAGTGGACTCTACTAAATAATCTCGGATTTGAAAACTAGAATATCGGATTGCAAAATGGAATTTATATAGATGCGCGTACATATAGTTCGTGTTCGGTTAGATATTTATTTATATAGGCGTAAAACTTAGTTAAAACTTAGTTATACCTTAGAGAGCGTGGAAACATAGTTTGTATTTTAAAGATCTTTGTATAAATGCGAGTGCTGTTGTTGTGTGTTCGGTGTGATATGGGTGTGGAGCGATTTGCACGGCTGAAGTTCCGATTTTTGCTGGCCATAATTCGATATACCTTTGATCCGATCCAATTATTCAATGATCACTTCAACTGTGAAAACGTTTTGCCTGCAATATTGCCAATTTTCAGGTGGGTAGAGATTAAAGCTGGCAAGGCATCGATAGTAAATAGATGGTGTTATCGAAAACATCGAGAATATCGAACTGATTTTCGAATATTCAAAAGATTCGAATTCTAGTTCTAAGAATTTGTCAACAATATCATATAATCGATTATGACAGAAAACCTCGAGGGTTGTCTATAAAAAACACAATCGATGCCACCAATAGAACAATCGATATCTTGCCAGCTCTATTTTAGGTGTGTGTGTGTGGATATTTGAGGAAAAAAAGAAAACAATTTTTTGTGTTTTAGTTTTTTGTGTTTTTTTCTTTTTTTTTGCATAGTTTTTGGAATAAGTCACACATTTATTTAATAATAAATATATATTTTTAGTTGTAGTAATGTTTTTTTTTGTTTGGTTTTGTTTGGTTTCGCTTGGTTGCATTCAATAAGTTATAATAATTATAAAAATGGAATAATAAGTAGGCGTAATAATATATAATGTAATATAATATAATAAGTTTTCTTGGTTTCATTTACTTTGGTTTGCACTTGACGAATACGAATACGAATCTTAGACGACGAAAAAAAGGTAATTAAATCTGGTTACATATATATAATAATGGTTACGTGTGAGTGGGTATGGGTGCTGGGGTTTTTTCTTGTTACGTTTGGAGAATATATCGCGGCTTTATCTTCGATTTTCGTTTCGTCTTCGAGTGTAAATCATGGCGAATCGAATTAAATATAAGAGCTGAATAGCACTAGAATTAATGTAATGTAATGTAATGTAAGGTAAGGTTGCGAAACGAACACAAAATACAATACAATACAATACAATATATTTATGCATATCCATTATAATAAGTACTTAGGTAAGCTGAGAGAGTTATGTTGGTAAATCTTAAATCAATAGACATTAAATCATTTGGTTAGCTTGTTTAAATACTTTGTTTAATTGAATATAATCGAATTGAATTACATATACATAAGTTTAAAAAAAAAATAGTTACTATATATTGCGACTTAGATCATTTTCATTCATATTTTTGCAGTTTTTTATTTTTCGTTTTTTGTTTTGTTTTTCCTTTGACCATATTTACTTCTCATAATTCTCATTTGTCAATTTATAGACAGTTGTCTTGCTCATCTTTTTTCTAAAGTTTGCCTTAGTTTCTGTGTTGTGTTTTTTGGTTGCCTCATTCAAGCTTTGTTTTTTTTTTTGTTTGTTTTGTTTTTTTTTTGGTTTCTTGGTTTAGTTAATAAAATTAAATTATACAGATGGAAATAAATCAATTTTCACTAAGATTTCATTAGAATTACAATCATAATAATTTCGTTTAGCGTACAAATCAAATGATAGACATATCATAACTCGCGCTAATTTTCGCAATTTCGACTACACTGTCATTGTCCCATATCATATTAGATCATATCATATCAGATCAGCACGATCTATAGTCTAGGTGTTGTCAAATCAAACAGATCATGGAGTATTGGAAAGGTCTAGTCCAGAGTGGCGGGTTCGCCTAAGTGGTTTTGGTCTTGTTAGTCTTAAAGCTGACCTGCAGCACCCGATTGCCCAGGGTATATCCGTTCAACGACTGTATGGCCACCACGGCCTCATCGTAGTTGGTCATGGTCACGAATCCGAATCCCTTGCACTTGCTGGTCTGCAGATCCCGGATCACCTTCACCGACTGAACGGCCCCGAAGGGACCAAACAGCTGCCACAGCACATTCTCCTCGGTTTCCGGGGCCAGGTTATAGACGAATATACACCATCCCGATCCAGTCATTGCGTTTCCCGGCAAGATTGAGTTGGCCAATAGGTCGCCAGCCAGCGGTGAGTACCTAAAGTGCAGTTGCGATTCAAGCCGGTGGTGAGATAAACAAATTAAATTAGTTGAGTGCATTAGGTGCATTGCTTTACATCAATAGGTATGTTAGGTACTCTCCTAAGCCCTCCTATACACTTAACTTTAGGTTGTCTTTCGATTTTAGGGTTTCTTATAAGGCACATGCTGAGTTACATAGAAAGAAATACCTATCCATTTTAATATTTTCCTTAAATATACAAAAAAAGTTACGAATAAAATCGTTAAAGTACCTAAGGTACTAATTTTAGTATTTTTCCTATGCCTACACCTTAAACTTTGAAAAGACACTTTAATTGTTTAGTCCTAGAGCTCTCTATATGAACGATGAAAAACAATTAATACATAAATTTTCTACACCCCTTAACCAAAACTCTAGATTTTTAAGGTACATGCACACACGAAATTATTTTGGTATTATAGCATTTGGTATTTTTTTAAAACAAACGTTGGTGTCCTTTTCATATAACTAACAGATAAAAAACTAAAGCCCTATTTTTTTTTATTCCTCCTTTTAAAATTAAATTTAATATAAAGTTTTTGTGCCTTCGACATCTTTAATGTTATGAAACATGCTAAAATGAAACTAATAATTATAAAGTTGATTTTAATACAATTAAAATAACATATAAATATGAAGTTTTGATAATAATTTATAATACTGAGAAATCCTAAAATCAGGATAAGAAACATTGTTTAAGAATCAAAGGTAACTCTCACATGCAAACGAAACAATTAAGAAGCCAAATCTGTGTACGAAAATGAAAGAAAATTATAAGTGTAAATATATACAAACGTTGTATATATGTATTAACAATATTGCTAGACATTTATATATATTTTTGAATATATTTCTATGTTTTCAGCCAAATTAATAGATTAACAAAATAGCAACTCGCACAGATAAAATGAACAAGATTAAATAATTCACCTTCGCAGACCCCTGTTAATCGCTAACATGGGACTCTTTCCAATGCTAAAAATGATGATAATAGACAAAGAAAGAAAAAAGAAGTAACAAAATGGTTTGGATAATAAGATCAAATCAATTAGTCAACGAAATGGCAAAATATACGTACGCACCAACAGAAATTAAGAACTTATTTTATATTAACTTAGGAGTTTTTATTTTAAGTGTATGAATATAATTGGGAAACTAATATTCCATCAAGCTTAGTGTTTTAATATTCTTAAGCATATTGTATATCTCTATGGTACATAAAGAACTCAGTATTTATGCTCACAAAAATTTGGGCCAACGTTACATTTATAGGACTATGTTTTCATTTGTTATACCTTAAAATCATTCAATTAGTTAAATACAAGATATCGTTACAACATTCTTTATAAAGATGGTATAGATTAACCACTCCTCAAGAAATATGATATGATGCATTTTTTTTGCTCGAAAAGTATATATAAGCATTTTTGATATCATTTTTGTTAGCATTAATCCTGAGTCCTACGATCCAATTTTTCCCTATATGGTATCATTGAGTTTCTCCTTGTCTGGGGTTATAATACGAACCTTATGCGACCGGCGGAGGGCAGAGCTCCGGCCAAACGTCGGGTGGCCGCTGCCGCCTGGGGAGTTAAGTAGGCGGTGAGGGGCGGGGCGATCTGGGCCTTGGCGCTATTGCTCGGATTATTGGCGAACTTAACGGTTATCGGTTCGGCGTAGCCCTTCGGGGTCTTGCCATTCAGCTCCTGGATGGCCCGCTCGGCTTCGTTGCGCTGATCGAAACGGATAAAACCGACGCCCTTCGATAGACCTAAGAATTAAATACAATTATTATAATGAAACTAATACTATATATGTATATTTGAAAGATCTATGATTTATTATTATCATAATATTATTATCATTATGTGATATATTTTCAATATTATTATCAGATATCATCAAAATAACATTATTTATGCAAATTTTAAAGGTCTATGATTTATTTTGATCATAATATTATAATAATAAGTTGATATGTTTTCATAAATAATATATTTTTGAATCTCATATGATATCATATCAACCATTATTTTTACTCTCTCTCACTCTCTTTTATATGAAGACCAAAACTCACCAGAAATATTATCACAGAGTATACGAGATGTAATTATTTTGCCGAACGAAGCAAACATCCCCTCCAAGTCTGGTTGTGATAGATTTTTCGGAAGACCCGATACATATAAATTAGCACCCTTAATGGATTCTGAGCTTGGACGGGCGTATGATACTTTAATAACCTTATTCTGCAAACGCAGACCGTTCAGGGTGTTCACAGCCTTCTCAGCATCCTCGGCCCGTACGTAATTAACAAAGCCATATCCCAGACTCTGACCTAAATCGAAACGAAGATAAATGTTAGGCACATGATAATGCAAATATTATGGGGATTATTTCGTGAGTACATACCTTGCTGCAGTGCCGGGTTGAGAGCGGTCAACGATGCTGGCAAGACTGAAATTGGGTGTATAAAAATATTAGTTTTGAAAATTCATACAATCAGTGATAGAACAAAACATGCATGGTAGTATTATAACATCATTAGTCAAAGATTTGGCGGATATATACCACATAAACAGAAAAACTTATTGGTAACTGATGCACTAATTGTCAAAGTTTGGTTGTTCAAGTTTTTGAAATTAAAATATACTACAATATTTAGACACTGGTGTAGCTAAGTCCGTTTTTTAAAAATATTGTAAGATCTATTTTAGTCATCAAAACCTCTAAATAGGCCTTACAATGGTAGTTCAAAGTGTATAACTTGTATATAACATCTAAAATAGTCCTTAGAAACACACCCTAAAAAGGTGAAAGTAGATAAAGCATCAGCAGCCTTGCAATAAGTCAAAAAATGAAATCAATTTTGAAAAATGGTATCCGTTTTGTAGATTCTAAATGAACTAAACACCAAAATCATTTAGATATTTTCTTTTTAGAGGTGGCAAAACGTAGATACTTTTGCAAAATTCTGCACATGCTGATGCACCGTTTACAGGCAGCCAAAGGGGCCGAAAAATATTTAAACACTGGTGTAGCTACATCATTTTTTAAATAATATTGTAAGATTTATTTAAGACGTCAAAACATTTAAATATTCGTTAAAGTGGTAGTTCAAAGTGTATAATTTGTATATAACATCTAAAATAGTCTTAAAAAACACACCCTAAAAAGGTGGAAGTAGATCAGGCATCAGCAGCCTTGTAACATGTCAAAAAATCAAATCAATTTCGGAAAATGATATCAGTTTTGTAAGCTCTTAATGAGTAAAAAACCAAAATCATTTTGATATTTGCTGTTAAGAGATGGCAAAACTGAGTTACTTTTGCAAAATTCTGCACATGCTGATGCATCGTTTACAGCCAGCCAAAAGGGGACGAAAAATAGGAAAGTACTTGTAGAATTATTGGTCAATATTTACCCAAATTACCTGAGACTTTATCACGCACCAGTTTGCAACTCTCGAGCTCACCGATGCTGGAGAAGAGCGATCGCATCTCCTCCTGCGTCATGGTTTGCGGCAGATAGTTGACGATCAAATTGGTGCGCGACTCATCATTGCTGCCGTCCACGGAGCCATTGGCACTGCCGTTCTTCACTATGTCCATGGCGTTGGTCATCCTGATCCTGTCCTGATTTAGTCCTCTTGGTTAGTAGCTAATCTCACTGCTTGGTTGCTTTTCGCTTAAAAGTTATGGGGCTGCTTGTCGGGGTATCTTTTGAGTTTTTTTTTTTTTTTTGCTACTGCGCTTTGCACAACTGCTTTTTCCCGCCGATCTTACTTGGTTTATTTAATTTTTTTTGGGGGGTTTTTAGATCAACTACGATCGCGAAAAAAATGTATTTGCTTTTTTAAGTTAAGTTTAGAGCGTTCTCTGTCTAAAACGTTTAAAATTTTATTTATGCTTGAATTAGGTTTTACTTTGATTTGTGTTTTTTGTTTGGTTTTCGTTTAGATAAAAGAGTAAATTTTGCTAAATGTGTTTACTTTTCCTTTTTTTTGCTTCTCCGAATGTTAAAGTTTATTATGACCTTTAGTTGTAGTTTTTTGTTTTTGGTATTCTTTTTCGTTTTCTTTGTTATTTTTTATAAAATTGCAAAAATGCAAAAAGATAGCAATAATTTTGGTTTTCCTTTTATTATACTTTTACTAAATTTGCGCTGGTTTTTGGTTTTTTTCTTTGACTGGAACTTAGCTTTGGTTTTCAAATATACATTCATATATCGTATATATATAGTTAGTTGTGTTATCCGTTATCCTCTTGTATATAAGTATATATACCGCTTGAATATGATTATTCGTTTATGTTTGCTTTAAATTTATAGTAGTTGGTTTTATTTGGTGGTGTTTGGTTTTTGTTTACTTCCCGTCCTATTTCTTTTTGCCTCGTCCGTTTGCTTTTTCCTCTTCAGTTAAAAAATCTGCCTTTTTTGCTGGTGATCCGTGTCCTTTCCTTGATAAATGATGGCTGTTCGATTGCTCGCTCGTTTTCACTCAATCTGCAAGAAAGAATGGGAAAATTTTTAATTTGGTAAAAGTGTGATTCATAAATTTTACTTATTACCTAAAAAAAATTAATTATTTCTTAAGGAAGCTGTTGTATTATACCATTTTTAATTATTTTTAGCTAGAAGATATTTACAGATACACAGAGAGAATTATCACGTTCTCATCTAAGTTAAAAATGTTCTTCAAATTAGAACGACATTGAAATTGGAATTAGAATCAAGTTAAACATCTCAACAGCTATCGAAAAGTTGTTAGATAGTCTCAATTTAACTTACTTCTTTTCACCATTTTGTTTTAATGATGAGAACATTGATAGCAAAAGTTACTTTCACGGTTTTTAAGAACGAATGTTCTCAAATCAAGGACAATTTACTTGAATATTTATCTCTGTGTAGCTAATATTATATATTTGTTTTATAAAATTTTCTCTTAATATAAAAACGAAATGGTTTTAACAGTTCTTCCCATTGGGCTATGGCACATCCCTATTTATTTAGTAGACAATATCAGTAATATTGATTTTTACAAGAAATAAAAGGCTTATATGGTTAATATCACAAAAAAGCTGTTGTACTCTACCATTTTAAATTTTTTTTCTAACTGAAAAATACCTACAGATAGCTGATGTTATATATTTGTTTTATAAAAGTTTCCCTAAATATAAAAAAAATAGTTTTAAAGTTCTTCTTATTTGGTTATGGGCTAACCATATCTTTTTAGTAGACAATATGCCCTGAATTGATTTCGCTCGACTTCACACACAAAATGTGGTAATTCAATAGCTAACTTTTGTAATCTTTTTCGAGGGTAATAACACTAGCACTTTAGCACTTTTTAGCTGGAAAACCTTTTCAAATGCCATCTCATTTTCGCGGACCCTGCAATTTGGCAATATGGTTGCCATCCTGATGAAAAGTGCCCGATAAGCGCGTTTCACACACGACTTGGCAAGGACATCGAGTGACTACTGTCACCATAATCACCACCTTTACCACTACAGTGAGCACCCTCGGTGAGCACCACCATCCCCACCCCCACTGGAAATCCCACAGACAAGGGTAAGTCAGCACCGAAATCTGTTTATCAAACAACAAAGCGACTCAACTCGATTTTTTTCTCCCACTTTTTTGTCAGCACAAAGTATTCGCCTAATGGCTTGGAATTTAATTAAATCGCTGTAGGTAAATGCCATGTGGAATCCCATGTGTAATGTCCTGATATATGATATGAATCGAAAGATGCTAGCCCTGCACATTTGGCGATCCCTTCAAAGGCTGGGAACAATGGCAAATGGCAACCGAATCGCATTAAAAAAATACGTGTCAAATGGTAAATTGTGTTTATTACAAAACGGGGGAAATACCTTACACGTCCATATATCTTTCAACTTTGCGGAAATTACATTTGTATCGAAGATTAAAGCTTGAATTGTGCAAAATTCAAGCGAAATTTGACATAGGAAATCTAAACTGTTCAATTTATTTACGCAAATATTTTTTACATTGCTGTGTATTTTTTAGGAATCTAAAAAATATGTATGTAATGTTTTTCAGATTGCTGAATTTATCAGTCTATATATTTCAAATATATAATTTAGCTTGCAACAAATTTTAATTGACCAATGCATTTTTAGAAAATCTGAATTGAGTTTAATTTAAAAAAATATATAAATTTTAATTCTTTCAAATTTTTATTTGATGTCGGAACTTTTTTTAGAAATTAAAAAAGATGTATTGTTCAATTAGTCTAAATATTGTATATATTAAAAAGCCAAAGCCTTTTTAGAACATCTGAATTGGGTTTACATTTAAGAAATATATAAATTTTAAATCTTCTAAAAATATATTCTTAGTATAATTATTTGAACAACATTAAATTTGCTCCATTTTTTTAAAACTAAAAATAGTGAATTTCCAAGTTCATATTAGAATAGTTGAATATCTTTCCGATTTGTATACTTATGTTTCCAATTGGAATTGCGTTAGGGGTTGAAAGAGCAAAAAAAAGGACTTCCTAGATCCTGGCCTCCGGCATCTGTGTATGTGTGTGTGCGTGAAAGGACTGCTTTGAAAATAGGGTAAAAACCTGACGCGAAAAACAAACAAACGGGCCGCATGTCCTGCTATAATGTCCTGTCCTCTCCGGGTTCATTGAACCCCCGTGTGCCCGTGCCTGTGTTTTGGGCTTAGGCCTGGATTTCCCAGTTTTCCGCCCGTGTCTTTTCCACATTTCCCGCTCCCATTCGGTTGCCTTTTTCGCTCTGTGCAAGGATCGTGGCACGTCAAATGAGGTTTGGCTCCCAACAGCTGTTTCCGCGTTCGTTGAACCCGATAAAAGGTGCGATACTGGGTTAAAAGCCAAAGACACTGAGCGAAAAAGTGTTGGCGAAATACCATAGGAATATTATAATTAAAAAGAAAAATAAGTTGTAATACCCTTGCAAATTACACAAAAAGTGTGACTAAAATAATTTGAATTATATACTACTATAGGAATTATATACTACAGATTAAGAAATACATCAAAAATACAATTTATTCAAATTGTTTTTAAAAATTAGTAATTTTTTCACGTTCAAACCAATTTTTCCTATCGCAGCTGTAGGATATATTCAGCCGGTTTTTACCCTGATCAGGGAAATAACTTTTATAATGCGAAAATGTTCCAAGAAAACTAAGGTTTTTTGATCTTCGATAATATTATTGATAAATAATATTAGTATTAAAATTATTTTCCATTTATTTATTGGCCAGTTGAATAGTATTTCCACATAAAATTAACAATAAAAGGAGTTTTTAATTTTCATAATTAATATAATATATATTAGTGTATTTTTTTTTAATTTTTAAGAAATAGAGACAATTTTATAAATATGTTTTATAATAATGTTTTAAGAATGATATACATATTCCCAAAATCCCTTATTTTTAAGCCCCTGATTAATGGCATTTGAATGCTCAAGTCTCGTAAATATTTGTGAACCTTATCTTATTTTTCTCTTAGTGTACTGAAGATGAGGACCGAGATGAAAAGAAAATTGCACAAAAGGCAGTGCGAACAAAAGGAAGTGCAGTGGCGGTGCAGGAGGGCGGCACCTCGCCCACAAGGATGCAGGATTCAAGCCAGGGACATCCTTTAATTTCACAGCATGGCGTGACACTGGATAATTCTAAAGGCCCCTTAAACCCCCCCTACCCCACCTGGTTAACCCCCTGAGAAGAAAAAGGCGAAGGAGAAGCAAAAAATGTGTAATTGACACTTTTGCGCCGATATCTGTGACCTCATTTGCGAATGTGTGTCGGTTGGCATTTGTCGAGGGCCTTGAGGAGGGTCAGGATACACATATGACTCCTCGAGTCCCTGCGATACCATTGGGGAGTCCTGAAGAGCAAAGTTTATAGGGATAGGATAGGGAACCAGAATTTTAAAACCCATTTTTGGTTTTATGAAAATAAGTAACTGTTGTTAAAATGCTTGTTATATCTTTAATGAATTATTATCATATCTTTGTTTTAAATTTTAATTTTAGTTATATAATGTTGTATATAGTATTATAATATATTGTTATAATATATAATATACTGTTAATGTGAAGATAATATGAAAATTACAAACTATTATTAAAATAGTTGTTACATCTTTAATAAATTATATTCATATCTTTGTTTTTAATTTTAATTTTAGTTATATAATGTTGTATATAGTATTATAATATATTGTTATAATATATAATATACTGTTAATGTGAAGAGACTTTTGACTTAAGTTTCATAAGCCATCATGATAAGGTTCTAACATTTTTCCAACTTTTAATACTTATACGTTCTTAATAAAATAATTGTCATACTTTAGGTATTTTCTGAAAAAAGAAATTCTAAACATTTCCCATAAATCTTTCGAACCACCCAAAGAGTATCTTAATGCCATTTTTCGCAGCGCAACGAGAACGAAAGAAAAACAAATAAAAGATGTCATGGAAATTTTCAATGGCGCCCCCTTATCGATTTATTTTGCCTAAGAATAAATATAGACGGCTTGATAAACTTGATTAGATCATGGCATTTACCACTTACGTGCTTTGTCGGCGAGGCGGAATCGAGAAATTCGGTGAGCGAGGTGCGGTTGAGAAGTAGCACTGTCATACAGTGAGTTTTAGGGGGGGACTGACTATATAATAGATGTATATTGATTGCACAAAAAAACTTTCATTCGCGTCGACTCGCTCACTCGCTTTCTCTCTCTCTCTATCTCTGCACGCTCCTTTGTCCAACGATTTCCTGGCTATATAGTATATAGATATATATATAACTTATATGGCCGATAGGGGGGATCTGAATCTCGCGTAGTTTTATGGTCAGACACTCGAGGCACACACTCGAAAAAAATGCGAAAGAAATTGGGATTTTGACTAGGGTCTGTGAGTGACTTGCCCAAGTGTTCTATAATATATTGCACGATTATCGAAGTCGAGTCCCGGGAATTGCACGGTTTTATTGCTTTGTTTAGTTTTTTTTTAGTTTTTAGTTTTTAGCATATAGTTTTTAGTTTTAGGTAAAAAACCGAGAACACAACAAATTCGTAACTGAACATACATATATAGAAGTATATATACAACACAAAAACCGGTGCAGAGGAGTAAAAAATTATAAATGAATGTTCTCGAACGAGAAACACAACCGAATGGAATCAAAACCGAACGAAAGCAACGAACGAACACGTACGACTGAATCGAATGGAGGAATACGGCGTCAGGACCTGGGCCTTCAGCCCGATATCTGCACATATATAGGGGATATACATGTATCCCAGCCAGCCGTATCCTTGTAACCTTGCATCCTTGTCGCCGGCCCCCAAAAACGACGATGGGTGCAACAGAGACGGAGCGATCCGGCGGAACGAAAGAGAGCACACGGCACTACCACCACCGAATATCCTTGCACCAAGGTCTGCCTCTCTCTCTATCGCTATCCCTGTCCCTCTCTGAAGTCCT